TGAATGTAAAACAAAAGGGGGGAACCACAAAGAAAAAAATAAAAATTTTTCATTATTTTAAAATTTGTTAAGGGGGTTTGTTTTAAATTTAAATTTTTAAAAACAAAAAATCTTTTTTTTAAAGAAAAAGCGCGGCAAAAATGCAGTGTTTTTGTTTTCTTAAGATTGAAATTAAAAATAATGTAGATGTTTTGCCCTATTGATATCTTCTGGGTGGTATTACTTCATTAAAAGAATCCACTGAAATCACTTGGTGTTTTTTACATAGTGCAAAAAACATTAGTCATTGCAAGTAAAAAGTTGTAAACAGATTTGTGACCTTTTTTGGGAGTTTTATTACTTCACAAATTTTAAATACTTCAAAAAACATTTCAGGTGTATCAACAGAAGAACCAACACAAGTTGTTAGTGAGAGAGGGAGGAGGATGGGAATGTGGCAGTAACTGAAAGAAGCCTACTCAAGTATTTGAAGAGCCAAAGATAATAAGTCCTAGAGGGAAAAAGGGAAAGAAAGCCTGATAAAAACTCAGCCAATTTTCCAAGCAGAAACTCAATTTTTTCAAGATAATGATGAAACTGATTCTAAACTTGTGTCTAAAGATGATGCAACTCAAGGTATTTGAGGAATGTTAAAGGGAGCTGGAAAAGAACAAAAAAGGAGATCAGCAGTAACCCTTGTGTTTTGGAAACACAATTTTTGAAAGAAGATTCCCACAAGTTATTTTGAAAAGGGACCCATATGATAAATCAAATCAAAACATGAGAAATGTAGATAACAAACCTGATGAAACTCAGTGTTATTGGATGAGGATACAGCAATGCTTTTGATAATAAAACGATACAGACAAAGGGAAATACACAAACAGGTGAATTGAAGATACAAAAGAATCTGCTAAACAAGGGGCAGACACTGAAAAACATGGATGAAATGGCCAACAGTGGAACAAGAAGGGGGTGATTGCGCTTGTTGAAGGGTTTGGTGATAGATGAAAGGTGAAAACATTTGATGTAACAGCAGCCTCAACTTTAAGCTTTTAGCGGTTTTTGTAGTTACCAATGAATTCAAGAGACAGAGGGACAAGAGAAGACGACTCGTTAAACAGGAGGGGATGAAAACCCAAAACCAAGTAAATATTTGAAGCTTTTCATGCTCTTAAAGTAAGATTTTTTTTATATAAAAACATGGATCTATGAACCTGATAACTTTCTAATTTCTGTCATTTTTGGCTGGGTTGCACAGATGCAAACCGGGGTTATACTATGGTGAATGTCAGGCGGCGGGGAGGGGGAAAAAAATTTTGTAAGAGTTTTCTCAGCAACTACTTATCACAGCCTCTTGATATTTGGCATACAGCATTAACTAGTGGTCCCATATCGTGGGATTCTATTTCAGGTCTGTTGCATATCCACTTCCTGATTACCGACCTAGTTAAATTTTCGACATTAATGGTCAATGGTAGGAAATTTACATAACAGTTTTCTCAGCAACTACTGATCACAGCCTTTTTATATTTGGCATACAGCATTAACTAGTGGTCCCATATTGTGGGATTCTATTTCAGGTCTGTTGCTCATCCACTTCATGTTTACTGACTAAGTTAAATTTTTGACATTGATGGTCAATGGTAAACATTTTTCGTAACATCACAGCCTTATAATATTTGGTATACAAATGCAACCTGGCCTTTCCTGTCTTTGACCCATTTTTAAATGAAAACTTGAAGATCTGAAAAAGAAAACAAAGTTAGAGTACACGTCTGATTTGATATGGATTTTTTGGATTCTAAAACTAAAAAATTATAATTATGATATTACAGACCTTCCATTAGGGCCCAATTCATTTGATTTAAAATTTTATAAACCCCATAATTTTGATAGCTCAAAAGGGTTTATTGTCATAAAGTCAAAAAAATTTACTTTCCCCAAACCCTTAATTGAGATTTTTTTAGACAATCTTATTTGCAAAATGAATTTCTTATCATGTTCACATTTAAAAATTGTTCTATACTAATACATGTAATAGTTGTTTTTGTCATTTAGGTCTTTGATGAAGCAGAATCAACAGTTGCTGTTAATGATGATCAAACCTTACCAGTAAAATCAGAAGCTACCTCTATCAAGCAAACTAGAAGGAGAGGGAGGCAGAAAAATGTTGATGAAACAGTTGCAGTTACAGATGATGCTACACAGGTGATTGAAGAAAAGACTGTTGAAACTAAAGCAACAAGAGGAAGAAGAAATAAGGTAGCTGATGACACTATTGCAGAAAGATAGCTATCAATTTTGATGAGACAGTACAGTTAAATAAAAATCAAATTTTATTAAAAAATTGTAAAAAAAAATGGGTAAATGGGAAGGGGTAAGATAGTAAAATCTTCAAAACTTTGGGGAAATGCCACTCAATTTTTTGATAAAAACTGACTGTGGTGGTGAAATCAGACGGGGTTTGAAGGAAAAAGTTGAAGGTAAAATAAAATCGGGGCGGGAAAAAAAAGGGAAAATCGAGATGTTGGGGAACAAAATTTTAATAAGATTCTCTCAATATTGAGAAACAGTTGCATGATGAAAGTTTCCTTGAAAAAATTTGAAAAACAACAAAAAAGGGCGCGAAAGAAGGAAAGATATCTAACGGGGTACCCCAAACAAAAATCAGTAAAGACCAAAACAGTTTTTGATGACACAGAGCAATAACTATGATGAAACTTTCTTTTGAAAGCATGAAACAAAGCTGCTCAAAAAAAGGGAAAGGGGAAAGAAAAAGATATTTCAAACAGGGAAACGAAAGAACCAGATTTTTTATGCAACAGAGCAGTTGAAAATATTACGAAGTAAACTGTTACAAAAAAAGGAAAAAAGCACATGTTAAAAAAACTAAAGAACAAATTGATATACAGTCAATTTTAAAGATTAGATGTTAATTTTGAACGACAGGGTTTGAAAATAAAACTGAAAGAGAAAAAATACGTTAAATCAGGTTTGTAAAGGAAAAAAACAAGAGGTAAAAAAAAGTTCATAAGAATACAGATAATTGTTAAAAAGTGTTTTCAGACAAGAAGTCAAAAGTTAAAAATAATTGAAAAAAGCTTTGAGGAGGTAAGTAATGTCAGGAAAAGTGTAGAACCAGGGAAAGTTACTATGTCTGAAAAAGAAGAATTTAAAGACCAAAATGAGGATAAAAACATATCTAAGGTAAAAGAAAAAAGTTTTTTGGAAGAAATAAAAATAGACAGGAAGTGCAGAAACAAAAAGGAAAGAAAGAAGTGTTCAACATGAATTGGGAAGCTGCACTCAATATACCGGCTGAGGAGGTTCTAAAATTTTGAACTGATAAATATTATTTATTAAGTTTCAATCATTAAAGTATTAAATTCAAACGGTTAAGGAGAAAGTAATAATTTTCATAAAATTTTTTTAAGCAATTTGAGATATATTGCTTTAAAAACCCAAGGGGGGGAAATATTGAAAAATACAAAAAAGAAATGGAATTTTTTCCAGGATGGAAATCTGATGTATTCATTACTTTGCCCACGACAGACTGGGAATCATTAATTGTAATCATTGATTTTTTAATTGATTACATGATTACACTGTAGTAATCATCATGTAATTGATTATGTTGCCCAAAATTGATTAATGTAATTGTAATTAATCAATTACAGCTAAAATTCAGTCAGTAATTATGATTACAATTTGATTGACATTGATTACTTTTAGATTTAGCATTAAACTATTTTAAGCCAAAGGATGCCATACAGTTTAACTTTTGTTTTACATTTATATAGTAAAAGCCCTTACTTAAGACCATCATCTGGGCTGGACCAAAACGGTCTTAATTGTGAATACTCTTATCATTGCTAACATACTTTATGACCATGGTCTGTTTTAGTCATTTTGTATGGAAAAAAAAATCATGTATCTTAAGCTACAAATATAATATAAAGGACACTATAAAAGCATGCTTTGATATCGGATGAGAGGAAAACATATTTCTGAAGAAATTTAACATAAAATTCTCTTTGGTCAGATTTCAATATCAATTATTATATGATATACATAAATCACCTATCAAATAAAAATTAATTCTTCACAAAATAAATTTGCTGAAAGCAACATTAAACCACTCTAAAATTTACCTTCTCACCTTATTTCATACATTATGACCCAAATATAACAGTTTTTCACACCTTGTGAAATTAAGTGTCATGCAAAGCATTTAAGCAGATCATAACAACAAATTTAAGATCTAGATACATGTAGGTGTTGACTTTAATATCAGTGGTCTGAATAGTTGGGTCAAATTAAAGAAAAAAACAAAGAATTTGGACTGAATCAGGTGGTCTTAAAAGTGGATGAGTGGTTGTTCTTAATTCTGGGTCATGTAGCCATTGACTTAAAGAACCTTGTAAAAAACAGTCATATGTAGGAGGTGGTCTTAAGTAGGGATTCTACTTTACATTGAATGTAATCAATTATCAATCAATTACTCTCTTAAAATAATTGTAATTTAATTGATTACAGAGGCAAGTGAGAGTAATCAATCTTAATCAATTACAATAAAATCTGAAAGTAATTGTAATTAAATCAATTACTGAACAATGTAATCATCCCCAGGTCTGGCCCACGACCATGTTGAATAGAAATTTTAACTTGTTTTAAACAAAAGTTAAGGAGAGGTTACAATGTTCTTTTTTAGTTAAGTATGGACAGGTTTCCCGGCTTAAAAACATATGGAAACATTTATATGGCAATATTTCATGTCTGAATTATATTCCTTTTAAAGTTCAATGAAATTCAAGAAAACACAGGTGTGAGCTCATGGTCATATCCTATTTAGATAAATGCTTTTATGGTTGGACATTTTCTGAATCATTTGGTGTTAAAACCATCCAATCTAACAACAAATGGGTGCAATATAACTAATTTGAGTTTTAACAACTTTACAAATATTTACTCTAAGTACGACCAATGAAGGAGCTTGCTTTCTAGTAGCAGCTTTTTAGCATAAGGCTGTCCATGGTGGTGAAACTTTCATAATTTGTACATGCATTGTAAAACTGATGTATATATATATTTAAAGAAATTGTGTACATGAATGATAATGTTTGTAGATGAAGGTGATGAGGCAGCTACACAGAGGTATGAGGATGATGACCAGACACCTGATATGGCTGAGGTTAATCAATACATATGTTTATGTTTGTGTTGGTGTGTTAATGCAGCTCTTGCAAACTATATTGATGATTCCATTATAGAGTGTTTTGTCAGTTTATATTTCCAAATTATAATACAAAATGACTTGTATAATGAAGGAAATCTATATTCTGGAAGAAAATATTTGTTTAAGCATGCATGCATAATGAATCTATAAGAAACCTGCTGTATGTCTAAAAAAGCAATTATTTTTTTGTGGTAGTAGTTTTAAGAGTATTGGACTAGAAGACTGCTGATCTGCAGATTTCTGTTTGTCAGTAGACAGGCTGTATTATTATGTCTAAATATAGGAGTTGGTCTGTGACGTGTCTGTAGGTTGATTTTACGGTTGTTGAATGATAACCAAAAGTTTGGAATGGGATATTTATCAAACTTCGTATATAGCAAGTTTATGTGGAAACTTTGCTTTAAATTCTTTTGAGCCGTCGAGGGTCAAGGTCACATGCTTCCAGATGATTACTTGAGTTAGGAATCAGATAATTGAGCATTTTTCAAGAGAAATTTAAATCAAATCTGGAAAATACTGAAGATATATCTGACAAAGCTAAAGTAAAGCATATGTTTTAATCAAATCATCAGTTTGTTTTTGCTCTCTCCAGATTGAAAAAGATGATAACTTAAATGTACCAGTAGTGGATACAGAACCTTCTCGTGGTAGATCACCATTAAAATCTGCTCTTGCTAGTCCTAAGAAGCAGAAGAGTCCATCACCAAAAAAAGTCCAATTTGTTTCACAGGTATGATTTATAGAACAAAATAATCACACTAAATGAACACTCCCTTTTCTTTTAAGACATGGTTTAATATTTGATTTCCTCTGACATTTTACTTCATGCATTAAAGGCACATTTTGCCTCAGAAACAAATCATTTTTGAGTTCTTTAGATAGGGCAAACATGAGTTTTAAAATGTTTAAATTATGGTTTAAGAGAAAAAACTAGATGCTTATCACCTGAAGAAAGTAGTATTGAACTTTAATTTATTTGCCATAAATGTAGCAAAATATAAACAAAGCAGTATTTTGACGTCCATATAAAATACTAAAATTAATGGATAAAGAGTTCAACCAGAAGTCAAGGATTGTTTTTAGAATATTTGCTGTAATAATTGGTATAAGAGCTAGTTACTTTTGTTACTTTTCATTATTGTTTATATATGGTTTAGTTTTAGTACCACACCCTACTGCTTAAATATAAAATATAATACCTTTTAATTTGTTATTTTATAATTACAAGTGTGTTAAATTGGCATAAAAAAAATAAACGAAAATATGTACATGTATATACATACATAAAGTTCACTTTACCTGACTTAATTGAATAGAATTGTTTCATTTTCACTTTCTTATTAGCAATTATCATATTGAGCAGAGCTTTTTACGACCTGTTTTTTATTCAACTAAGTTCTTTTTATCTATGCTTATTTGATTAGAATTCTGAGACAAGTTCTGAGTCAGGAGAGCCTTCCAGAAGATCAAAGAGACGAAATAAAGGGGTACAGAAAGGTATATACTTGTATCACACTGTATGTTGATATGGCGGGCGGGGAAAATATTTTTGTAACAGTTTTCTCAGCAACTACTTATCACAGCCTCTTGATATTTGGCATACAGCATTGACACATGGTCTCATCACGTGGGATTTGATTTCAGGTCTGTCGCTCATCCACTTCCTGTTTATCCACTTAGTTAAATTAGTTAGATTTTTTTGACATTAATGGTCAATGGTAGGAAATTTTCGTAACAGTTCTCAGCAACTACTTATCACAGCCTCTTGAATATTTGGCAAACAGCATTTGACACATGGTCCCATACTGTGGGATTTGATTTTCAGGTCTGCAGCTCATCTACTTCCTGTTTATCCACTTAGTTAAATTTTTCGACATATATGGTCAATGGTAGAAAATTTTCGTAACAGTTTTCTCAGCAACTACTTATCACAGCCTCTTGATATTTGGCATACAGCATAGACACATGGTCCCATACCGTGGGATTTGATTTCAGGTCTGTCGCTCATCCACTTCCTGTTTATTCACTTAGTTAAATTTTTTCGACATTAATGGTCAATGGTAGAAAATTTTCGTAACAGTTTTTTCTCAGCAAACTACTTATACAGCTCTTGATATTTTGCATACAGCATTGACACATGGTCCCATACAGTGGGATTTGATTTTAGGTGTGTAGCTAATCCACTTCCTTTTTTACCACTGAATTAAATTTTTGACATTAATGGGTCAATGGTAAATTCTTTTTCGTAACATCACAGCCTCATGATATTTGGTGTACAAATGCAACCCGGCCTTTTCTGTCTTTGACCAATTTTTAAAGTTTGTCCGGACTACTTCTCTTATACCACTAATGCAATTTCAATGAAACTTTACAGGATTGATCTGTAGGTCAAATCTTTGTGCATATTGCACGGGTTTTCCGGTTGAATGATTTTTGGCAGAGTTATGGCCCTTTGATAAAAAGGTGTTTTTTTTCTGTGTGTTGCCAGATACACAAAAGCTTGTCCGGGGACTACTCCTCATAAACTACTAGTGCAATTTTATCCAAACTTTACAGGAATGATCAGTACCAAGTCTAGTTGTGCACTGTCCGTCTGTCTGTCCGTCTGTCACAAAACTTGTCCCAACATGAAATTGGCCATCATGAGGCGACACATGTGATCACTGATCGCTCTTGTTTAATTAATGCAAATGTTTATTATTTTTAATTTAATTCTATTGTTAAGCATAGTGATATGTCTTCTTTAAGTTATTGTTTCAAAAAGTTTAGGTAGAACTGCTGATATCTTTTAATGGTTAAATTTCAGAAGTTGAGACAACAGTTGCAGAAAGTGAGACAAAAAATTTGGCAAAAGTTTCAGTGGCAGCACCACTTGCTGGAAACAAGAGGTCTACAAGGGGGAAACAAGCAACCTCTAAAAAAGATGTGAAAGATGAAAAAGAAAAAAGTGAAACAGTTGGTGATAGTAATGAAACTGAAAAGTCAGAAATTTGTACTGATACAGGTTCACATCATACAAATGATCTTAGTACTGAAAAAGAGAGTGGTTTGACTACTAAATCAACTAGGAGTAGAGGGAGAAAGTCTGTTGATACAGGGATAAATGTTAAGCAAGGAAAGGTAAGCAGAAAGACAAGAACTAGTCTACCAGCTGTGTTAGAAGAATCTAAACCTGAAACTATTCAGCAGGTGGATAATTCAGAAGATGAAAATGTGGTGACTGATGGAAAACAAAATGTAACAGAAAGTAAGGAAAAGGTTAAGAAAAATATTAAAGGAAAGGGGAAACAATCCCAAGTAGTAAAATCTGAAAACTTATCTATTGAGAGTGAAGAAACAGCAGCTGATACTTTACAAAATAGTGAGCCAAGTGAGAAACGATCAAATAGATCAACTAGAACAAATGTGAGTGTAAGTAAAACTAGAAATGTTGAAGAAACACAAAGTGACACAACAAATAATGAATCAGGGAAAAGTGAAGACAACACTACAACTAGATCACATAGAAATGGTAGAAGAAGAGTTGTTGATGATGCTGATAAAATGGATAATCAGGTGAAAAAAAGAAAAGTGGATCAGGTGATAGCAGAAGGTGATAAAAGGGAAGAAAGCCCTGAAACTTCATCCAGAACAAGAACTAGTAGGAACAAAGTGTCTGATAAGGTTTCTAGTGATACTAAACTTGTAGAAACTGAAAGTGTTAATAGTAAATCTAAAGGAAAAAATAGAAAAAGTCATACGGCAAATGCTGTTATAAGTGAAAATAATGACAGCAATTCTGATGGTGTTAAAAGTGATTCAGTAACAGATGAAATGGCCATTACAGATGATCAACAAAAGGTTAAAGGTAAAGGTGTTAGAAGCAAGAGAGGAAAAGATGATAAAGACGATTCTGAAACTGTTAAAAATAATGTGAAAAAAGAACACATAGAGGATGTAGTGGTAGGTAATAAAAAATAAAAAGGGATCCCCCTAAAGGGGTAAGAGAGGGAAAGTTGGGCAAAGGGAAACCCGTAAAGGAAAAAAGGAAAAAACTGTGTAAAGAATGGGGGAAAAAAAAAATCACGAAGGTTGAAAAGAAAAGAAAACTGCCCCGGGGAGCTAAATGGGTCTAAAGGTTAGTTTTTAAAAATTTTTAATAAAAATTTTTTTTTCAGGGGCATTACTAAACTTTAAAATTTTTTTATAAAAAAAGTTTTCGCGGTTATGATCAAATGCATAGTCTTTGTTGTCGTCGTAGCATTTTAAAAATTATCAACATGAATACTTATTTACAATGACAAGGTGCACTAGTTAGACAATGGGCATAATTCTGAAACCATTTTTTATGGAGTTATACCTCTTTTTAACTTAGTGAACACCACATGCGGTGCTACTGTTTTGAAGTAATTATTGCCATATGATTTTATATCAGATACCACAGACATGAGAATTGCAAGAGCAGAAACATTAAATCAGTGGCGGTTTTGTTGTTGTTTTATTTTTTCTTAAACATTTATAAACATGAATCTAAATGACTTAACTAATGAGATTTCATTATCAGGTGTCAGAATAAGTCTGATAAAAAGTTAAGCAGTAAAAATAAAATTACTAATTGAAAAGATCTTTTAAAACTTATAATTTTGATTTATAGAGTGAAAGAGGAGAAACACCAGCCAAGCGGCAGAAGAAGAAAAATGACGCTAAAACTTCAACACCTAAACTTGCAGAGAAAAGGGTAGATATATTATCACACCTTTATCTATTCACAACTGTACTATAAATTATTTTTATTTAATGATAGAGGATTTAACATAATAGAAACTTATTAAAGTTATCACATGAAGTAGAGGATTAAATAGAGGATATTTGTTTAGTTCAGTGTAAGATCGGAATATATTTCACCGAGTGAGCACCAAAAGGTATATTTCACTAGTGGCGCAGCCACGAGTGAAATATGAACTTTTGGTGTTCACAAGGTGAAATATATTTCGATCTTACACTAAACTAAACAAATTTTCTTTTTATTACATGCAAAGAAACGTTTTGAAAGACATTAAACCTAATACTGAATGAAAAGCGCGCCAAATAATAATACAACGTGACGTCATTTACGACGTCACGTCATTAAGTCGGTACCCAGTACTGTGCACGCTGGTATTTCACTGAAACAACGTAAGGGGCTTAAATTCAAAACAGTGAAATTATCAAAGTGGTAATTTCACTGTTTCAAACAGTGAAATTACCAGTTTTATATCACTGATATATTTCTATAAACCACCGAAAAGCATGTAATAAATAGAAAATTTCTAAATTAAAAAATTATTATCTTATATTACTAAAATATCTGCATCATTGAAGACCTGAATTATTTTAAGATCATGCTAAGTATTTCAGAAAAAAAGTTAAATTTTTTTTATCAAATAAGGTAGGACTTGACTATAAAACATATTTAGACATTTTTCAACATCTTCAGAATTTACTTCAAAGTAGAGTGCTGAACAATTTTGAATATTACTGATGGCACATATAGGAAGACTGTTTGATTACATTTTGTTATATTTTCTTAGAGGACAACAATGAATACACCAAAAGGAGCGTCCTTGAAAGAATTAGAAACTAGTGTTACACATTCCCCAACATTAAGGAAGACAACAACTGAGGAGATGAAGGCTAAAGTGATGTTTACTGGAGTGGTAGATGAACAGGGAGAAAAGGTAAGTGCTTTAAATACGTTTTTATGGTATCACATATACTTTAATTAGAAGTTTCAGAAAGTCCTGCATATTTAGGGACTGTCCTTCCTGTATACTGATGTCAAATGTAGTACAGAAATTATCAGCATGCTTCTACAATAGACAAGCTTTAGACAAGGTTAGGTAATACAAAATAAGTACATGTATATTGATTGCTTAGTTTGGTACAAAAGATTGTCAAAGAATGTTGCTTTTTTCCCTTTTGTAATTTTTAAAGGTGATTTCGTTCTGTATCAATATTTGAAAATTTGAAGCAGACATTTAAATGATTTGCATGTACCTGATAATTTTTTCTAGAAAAATAAAAGGTATGAAAATAAAATTAATGTAAAAAAATTGTGAATGTATGATTACAGATTGTAAAAGAATTAGGTGGAGACCTTGTGAGCTCTGTAACTGAGTGTACTCATCTGGTGACAGACCAGGTTTGTAACCTTTAACCTTCATTATTCTATATCCTTTATTAGGTCACAATCTTTGATGTAATCTCCAAAGTAAAATAATTGTTTGAATAAACTAAGAAGATATAAACAAAAAAGTATTCTCTTAAAGAAAATAATCTCAAAAATAAAATAATTTATATAAACTAAGAAAATTTAAATGCAGACTTTTAAATTTCTTTTACTGACATCACTAAGTGATAGGAATATCTGTTTATATGGATTCAATTTCATATCAAAAATTTATTACAGGTGAGAAGAACAGTTAAGTTTCTATGTTGTTTGTCACGAGGGATACCTATTGTGTCACCACAGTGGCTAGTTTCAAGCAAAGCAAGTGGTTTCTTTCTTGGTAAGTTAAAATTTCTCATACCCAGAATTTTGCTTTTACAAAGACTGATTTGAAGTTTGGTAAACATGCTAAACAGATGACTTTTGATAATACTTACAAATGTGAAATTGAGCTAAGTTTGCCAATTACAGTGGCATTATGTCAATCTAAGTTTTAATGGTCAGAGAAAAAGTAAAAGTCAAAAAACCTTGACATTTTTCCATTATTGTGTTCAATTTTATATTTTACTATGAAAAAATAATCATTTATGTGACCAATGGAAATTTCTGTAAATATTGTTATCTCTCCGACCAGTAGTTTTTACCCGAGAAGATTGTGTAATGTATTCAAGAATTTTCAATTTTTTGTATAGTATTTACAGTAGTATTTGTTATATTTGTGTCTTATAGATCCATTAAATTTTCTGGTGAAAGATGAAGCATCAGAGAGGAAATACAAGTTCAGTTTAGAACATTCCATAGAGAAGGCAGCTAAGGAGCCAGTGTTCACTTCTTTCACTTTTAAAATTACAAAATCTGTGAAACCAGAACCACAGCACATGAAAGGTTGTTAGAATTTTGTTAAATTTTTTTATAAGTCGCAACACTTGCTTGTTCAAATTTCTGATCCAGAGGTCCCTGGTTCAATCCAATGGGCAAGGTGAAATTATTTTGTGACAATTGATCTCAGACATTGAGTCTGATGGTCATTTATCTGTCATAGCTGATTCAGAAATCAGGTTTAGAAGTCTTGTCACTTGCAGAGAAATTTGTAATTACTGGTAAGTGTTCCAGGATAGCTTTATAGGTGACCTGATTCCCGAGATATGACCAAAAAATTGTTGTAATGGCATAAATACTAGACAAAACAAGGGAAACATGTTTCACTCGCCATCATATAATTGTTTACCTTGTGATAATATATTCTTAATCCATGTCACCAGCAAGCATATCTAAAAATAGACTGATTAAACACATTACTCTGGCATGTATCTAAAAATAGACATTTGGGAAATAACATATTTGCGTCAAATTGAAGATCATCAACATTTTTTTGAAAACCGATCACATCTAGTGTAGATAAAAAAAAGTTTTAAGATAATTGTTTTTCTTACTATATGACTTTGTATTTATATTTCTAGATTATGTTTGGTATCATGAAGAGGACATGATATTTATAGTATAGAATAATAATATCTGTCATATTTTGCGGTTCGGATCGGAATATCTGTCCCGAGGTGACCCGCCCATGGGCGGGTGACCGAGGGACGGATATGCCGATCCGAACCGCAAACATATGTTAGATATTTTTTCTTGCATATTCTACCATATTCCATTATATTTTATATTCTTTATCTTTAATTTCAATGGAAATTTACATCATTACAAGCGTAACTTCTTTCTTACAACAGCGTATGCATTGCACAACTTCATTCATAACGGTAAAATGACGTCATCCTAAGCGTGCCATTGTACAGCACGCGACTCATCTGGCACCCCCCATGCCAGATGAAATTTCCGGCATGGGTAAAACTAACGGAAACGCCAGTCTGATATGCAAGAAACATCTTTGTTTTGAACTATATATAGAAATACTTGCATAAATACTACACCTGCCTACCCTATAATATTGTGTTTCAATTTCTTTGCAGATATTTTAAAGTGTGCGGGTGCATTGAAGGTAATACTTTATTGTTTAATTTTGATAAGGAAATTGTAATAGTTACAAAACAGCAATGCATGAAATACTGAATGAAGAGACAAATTCCTAAGGGCTTGATTGCAGAAATCTTTCTCCAAGTTGCCAAGGACTGTGCAAATATTCTGTTATATTCAGTAAAAGTGAAAATTATTATTAAGTGTTTGATATATAATACTGAAGACAAATGTGTAAAGACATATCATTATGACATCTTCTTTTTAACACTTGTAGGTACATGTACTCCCATTTCAGCATGCAGGAAAGATTCAATGCTGCAAACTGTACCCCTATTAAATACTGAAAATATAGTCTGGTTGCATGATATACAATTATTTCTCGGGTATTTTTTGAGCAGTCAAAACTGTTGCCCCAAGGTATCAGGGATGATATTTGAAACTGTTGTCAGAGACTGAAGGCTGAATGATAACCTACATTTGTGCGTATTTTGTTCAGACCCTGTGCTGTTGACTGCAAAATTTATTTTTTTTGGCTGAAAAACAACAACAACAACAACAACATATTTATTTGATAATAAGGCCACCGGCCCATAATATACAAAGCAACGTGGATAAACATTTTACGTCCCTCTAATTAATATCGTCAGCTTTACAAAGAATATGGTGTATATAAATACATATATTACGTATTGTTGTATCACAACTCGAGTTCATTAATGAATAGAAATCATTTAAATTTGTTCTTCCAGCATACCAATTTAGTAAGTATAGTTGGCGTACTTCATTATATTTATAGCAATGGAAAAAAGCATGAAATTCACAATCTATAATTGAGATATTTCTATTATTTAAACAATATGTACAAAGGCGTTGTTCTCTTGGTATATTTAAATGTCTGCCGATTTCTATTTTAAGTTTGTGGTTAGAACACCTAAACTTAGAAAAAGATTTTTTATAAATAAATGGTAAGTCCAATATTAGGTATCTTTCTACATTTAAAAGTGATTTAAAATTTCTATAATGAAAGCATCGACTAGAAGTATTAATATCATTATGCCAATTTTGAGTGTAGCAATCAACCAGTCTCTGTTTAAACAAAAGGATAAACATGTCAGGATTACCTATTTCTTGCGAAATCCAGGCAAACCCAAAACCATACTCGAATAATAAATTTTTTATCTTAGTAGCCCAATTATATCTCCCACTATCATCATGATTTTTCAACATAAGATAACATTGTCGCGGATATCTTGATTGTTGCATAGACAATAAGTTGCACCAATATTTTATACAGTTAGTCATATAAAATATACATAATGGTAACCTGCCACATTCTCCTAGTGCCATTGCGTTATTTGTAGTTCTATTAACATTAAGGTACCTTTTACAGAAATCATTATGAACAGTTTCAATAGTATTTACATAACAATAACCCCATACTTGTGAGGCATAACATAATATTGGTTTCACCAAAGCATCAAATAATTTAAAGTATTCTTTGACTGGAAAATATCCAAATGACTTTTGATACTGTTTGATGGCTAGAATAGATTTCTTTGCTTGAATAGACAATTTATTGTGGGTTGATGACCAAGATATAGTAGGTGTAAGATAAACACCCATATATTTATAAATTGATACTACATTAACAGGAGATCCACGATAGAGCCAAGATTCATAATTTCTAAGACCACCTCCATTACGGAATACCATAATCTCTGTTTTATTTAAATTCAATTCCATACCCGTATCTTGACAAAAAAACCTACAGTAGTTATGTTAAAGCCAATCCAGAACATGCACATTTCCACATTCAGCTGTATAAGGTTTGAACACTAATAATCTGTATATACATCAGTAAATTAACATTGTGTATTTTACAGTTTATAGATAAGATGCCCAATAGTCCTGCGTCTCCACTGACTGTAGTTATCTCATGTTCTGATGATCAAGACGAGTGTGAACCAGCATATAAAGTGGGAATACCAGTAGTGACAGCCGAATTTGTACTAACTGGAATACTTAGACAAAAAGCAGATATAAATTTGTATCCTTTTGAAAAGTTTTTTTGCAAAACCTTTTACTTATAAATTGTGTTTTGTCAAATTGAATTTGATAAACCTTTTAAGTATATATGATTTGCTTCTTACAATATATGCTCCAGTGAGTTTTTAGCTCGACTATTCGCAGAATAATCGAGCTAATGCAGTCACCCATTTGTCGGCGTCGGCGTCCCTGTGGTTAAGTTTTTGTATGTAAGCTGGTATGTCAATAACTACTGAAGGGAATGGATTGAAACTTCACACACTTGTTCTCTGTGATTATCTAAGATGATTGGCACAAGTCCCATAACTCTGATTTGCTTTTTTACAAAATTATGCCCCTTTTTTGACTTAGAAATTCTTGGTTAAGTTTTTGTATGTAAGCTGGTATCTCCATTACTACTGAAGGGAATGGATTGAAACTTCACACACTTGTTCTCTGTGATTATCTAAGATGATTGGCACAAGTCCCATAACTCTGATTTGCTTTTTAACATAATTATGCCCCTTTTTCAACTTAGAAATTCTTGGTTAAGTTTTTGTATGTAAGCTGGTATCTCCATAACTACTGAAGGGAATGGATTGAAACTTCACACACTTGTTCTCTGTGATTATCTCAGATGATTTGCACAAGTCCAATTACTCTGATTTGCTTTTTTACATAATTATGCCCCTTTTTTGACTTAGAAATTCTTGGTTAAGTTTTTGTTTGTAAGCTGGTATCTCCATAACTACTGAAGGGAATGGATTGAAACTTCACACACTCGTTCTCTGTGATTATCGAAGATGATTGGCACAAGTCCCATAACTCTGATTTGCTTTTTTACATTATTATGCCCCTTTTTCAACTTAGAAATTCTTGGTTAAGTTTTTGTATGTAAGCTGGTATCTCCATAACTACTGATGGGAATGGATTGAAACTTCACACACTTGTTCTCTGTAATTATCTAAGATGATTGGCACAAGTCCCATAACTCTGATTTGCTTTTTTACATAATTATGCCCCTTTTTTGACTTATGAATTCTTGGTTAAGTTTTTGTGTGTAAGCTGGTATCTCCATAACTACTGAAGGGAATGGATTGAAACTTCACACACTTGTTCTCTGTGATTATCTAAGATGATCGGCACAAATCCCATAACTCTAATTTGCTTTTATACATAATTATGCCTCTTTTTTGACTTAGAAATTTTTGTTTAAGTTTTTGCGTGTAATCTGGTATCTCAATAACTACTTAAGGGAATGGATTGAAACTTCACACTCTTGTTGTCTGTGATTATCTAAGATGATTGGCACAAGTCCCATAACTCTGATTTACTTTTTCACATAATTATGCTCCTTTTTTGATTCATAAATTCTTGGTTAAGTTTTTGTGTGTAAGCTGGTATCTCCATAACTACTAAAGGGAATGTATTGAAACTTGAAGGGTTTGTACCTTTTCGGACAATTTTATGTATTCATATAGGTAAGCATTTTTATACTCAATGAAACACCCTTGTGACAAATTTTCGAATAGTCGAGCGTTACTGTCCTCCGACAGTTCTTGTTCTTCATAAGTACAAATTTGCTGTGTACATTATCTAGTTTACAGACAAAGAAAAGAAATTTAAACTAAAAGTGAAATTATTATTGAATCAAATCTATAGAAAAATGGGGACACTCCTACTTTTGAGTTATCTGCCCCTGAAAGAAAATTCTGATCACTAGTTTAAATTTTCCTTCTTTGCCTATGTAAAAAAATGAAGAAACTATAGGTAATGTCATTACAACATGCAGGAATTTTGGAATACAATGTTAAATTACTTTCTTTAACTGATAATAGATTTATGCTGGAGAAGAAGGGAAATGGAAACAATAAACAGGCATCTAGTCAGGAGACATCAAAGAAGAGGAAAAGATGAAATTAACTTAAACTTTTCACACTATATGTTCTGTAATGTGAAAACAGTCAATACACAAGACATGAAAACATTGGTGCATTTGCAGGGAATCGATATTAAAACTTGATGAGTACTGTACCTGTAACATGTGTTTTTATTTACATTATACAAAATGAGAAACTGTTACAATAAAATGGTTTTAAAATGTTACTATATTGACAGTTATACAGGAGAATATTATAAAAGGTTGCTGCATAAGTAACATGGTATTGAATCAATTAAACATGTTGGAAACATGATAGGAGTATGTTGCAAGAGGAAATAACCATTTATTGCACTATTTTTCTATGGGACCAGATCAAATGTTTAGACTGAAAGTGTTCTAAATATCAGCACAAAATTGAACACTTTTGACAATCTGTCAGGAACATTCTGGACAGAATGACTTTGTGCCTTACAGCAGGGAATTCATTGTAACTTTTATTACACACCACTAGTATATATTTCATACTGCATTAAAACTATTCA